AGTGTTCCGGAACGCTCTGAGAGCGCTCCGGAACGCTCTGAAGCGATTTATCCCGATCCTAGCCCTGTTTTATAGCATCATCATCAGACCTGGTGCCGGGGGACGGATCTGGTCCGCTACGCCGAGGACGCTCCATGGCATGAGCGGATTCTGGCGCGGCCTCATTCGGCATCCAAGTCAAGGGGGCCAGACCGGGTGGTGGCGGCGCCCGATTGGGGGACCTCTGCGCTAAGACGGCGGAGGGAGGTGATCCTGGCGAGAGTCGGGTGGAGTGGATGCGCCGTGGTGCCGACGGCCGCCCCCCCGCCACATTCACCGACCCCGCGTGCGAATTCAGAGCCGGGGACCTCGAGGACGACAACATCGACAAGTGTGTGACGACCCGCGCTGCCACCCTGGCGCTGACGGGTTCGAAGCGGCTCGATTAGATCTCAGCGTCATGTCCTGAGCCTGTCCAGTGGTCGGCGGCTTTGTGGGCCCCGGAAACGGCAGGGCCGTTTTTTCACCGTTTCCAAAAAAAATGTCCCTTGAAAATGGAAACGGTAAAAAAACGGCGACCGGAAATTGCAACAAAACGGCTCCAGGATCGGAACTGGAGCCGGAACCGGCCAAAAAACGGCGACGGAACCGGTAAAAACACGGTGTCGGAACCGGCAAGAAAACGGCGAAACGGAACCGGTAAAACAACAGCCCTGTCGTTTCCAGGGCCCACTAAGGTCGGCGGGCGGCGATTTGTGACATGTTGGGCGCGAAGTTCATGCAGCCCTCCCCTCTGTGACTCTGCCGCTGGCATGCGCGGCGGCGGCCATGGCAGCGGCGGCGCCCGGCAGGTGGGCGGGGCGGCGAAACCGGGCACGCGACGACGAGGAACTCAGCGACGAGGGCCCGGTGGACTTCGTCAAGCGGGTGGCCCCGCGTCCAAGGGCCGACCTCCCTCCTGCGCAGAATGTTTGAATTTTCTCCATCAGTCAGAGCGTGAATTACCTACCCCGCTTTCGCTTCCAGGCAAAACTAAGTCATACCACGCGCCTCCTCGTCAAGCGGCCTGACCAGTACAGGCTGCAATTTGGCATCGTTTGGTATCTCTTGGAAGCGAGGGTGGTCAAAAGCGAGGTAGGTTTGTTTTTTCCCTAATCAAGCTCAGCCAGCATGGCCGCGCGTGTAACTTGAGGGGCGTTGTCGATGGCTGCCAGCAGGAGGAGTTGCCAGGCTTCCCCGCGAGCGGCCCTAGGGGCACGAAGCGGCGCCTCAACTTCTTGCGTCGCCGCTGCACGCCCTTTGGATCATCGCCTGATGTTTCGCAGCACCTGCTCGCTCAAACCAGAGCATCGGGGCGTGGCTGAGCACGAGACGCTGCTTCGCATCGTCGAGCTCGCAGGACGGCGCGACCAACTGGACGTCTGCAACCCCGCGTGCATGGAAGCCGCCGCGTGGCGAGCGCAGACGATCGAGCGGGCCCCTTCCACGACGAGATCAGGGAGAACGACGCTAACTCTACCTCGCGCCAGTCAATCGAGGGCCCAGCCGCGGGGGGGACCTGATGGCGGCGCCGGAGCTCCTGGGGCACGTCAAGCTGCAGACGGAAAAGGGCGCCACCATCATGCATAAAATCAGGAAGGCGAAGGAGGAGCGGGAGTTGCGCCGCGAGACCCAGGATAAGACGAGGCGAGTGACGCCCGGGAGAAGGGGCGCCAGCGTGACCCTCCTGCCCCGACACCTTGTTCAGGCAAGCGTCGCACTCTACTTGGTGAAAGCATACTAATTCATAGTTGTCCTCCTGGTTCTGGGCGCCCTGGACTGGGCGCGCCCGCCCGGGCACTTCGGCAATCTTAGGGGGCCTGCGCGCCGACGCGCCCGGGCGCCCCTCGCCGGCGAGATGTGGTTTCCTTTTCTTCTTCTTCTTGCCAGGAACGGCGCTGCGCCCGGCCTCGGACCAGCGAGTTCGGCCGCGCCAGGGGAGGGGGGGGTGGCGGCCGGCGGCGCCCAGTCGCCGCGCGCGACGGCGGGTCTTGAAGCGACGGGCGATCTCCACCCCGAGCGCCCTGGCTGCGAGCAGGGGTCTGCTGCTGGCGAGCTGTGCTCGGCGTGGGCTCCGCAGGCGATGGCGCGGCGACGCGTGCGTGCTGCCTCCGCGGCGATGGGCCCGCCGCCTAGTCTCGCGCCCTCGGGGGCCTTGCAGGGGCCCCGGGGTGCGCGGGGCGCGGGGGCGCCCAGTCCACCGCGGTGTCTTGCGGTGAGTTGAAGGCTTCCCTGCTGGCGAGCAGCAACTGCCCGGCGCCGTTGGCAGGTCTTATTGGGGCTGGTGGCCATAGCGAAGTCGTTGGGTTCAGCGACGCTCATCGCTTCGACCGAGAAGCGGCCCTCCTCAACCTGGAGAGCGCCATCGTGGGAGCTGCGTGCTGCGATGCCCCCTGCATGAGTGGCGGCGGCTGGTCAAGGGGCTGGAGTCTGCTGGCGCGATGGACTGCGCCATCCAGCCGCTGGAGTTTGATTGTTTTCTCTTCGTGGGGACGGAAAGTGGGGGCCTGCGGCTGGCGGTCGACTGCCGCCGCTGCAATTGCCGGCTCTTGCCGGCGGGCCCCGCCCAGTGAAGCGCGGGAGTTGCCCCCGGCGACCTCGAGGTGTCCGACGGGGCCGCTCTCTTCGTTGGTCGCGTGGATTACAAAGATGCGTTCTACCACTTCGAGCTGCCGGCGATCCGCAATTACATTGCGCTCCCAGCCGTGCCCGCGTGAATCGCTGGGGTCGCCTCGGCGGGTGGCGCGCGAATGAGCCGGGCGCCCTCGCGCGTCCTCAGCTTCGCGCGCTGCCTGTGGTCACGTGCCTCGTGGTCCTGTCAGACCCTGCGTCGGCGCATTATCAAGGACATTCCTGGCCTCGATGAGGCCTCCTGTCTGCTGGGTTCAGGGCCTTCGCCCAGGGCCGACCCTGCGTGCCGCGCCGTCTACGCGGGCGATTTCTGGCGCTCGGCGCGCGCCGTTCAACGGTCGAGCGACTCGCGCGGCGGGTCGACGCAGCCCTTGAGTCTCGGGCCCCCCGGGCGCGCGAGGTGGCAGCGAGCTCTCTTGAGGGGGAGGTCCTTGGGCGTGAGATCGATCGGGGGCAAAGGCGCATTCCGCCTTGGCCCAAGCGCGCTTCGCGCGCGCATGGCGATTGCAAGGCAGCTTGAGGCAAGGGGGGGCTCTGCTCGAGACGTTGAGAAAGTCGCGGGGCACTGCTTTCCTTGCTCTCCTTTGTCGCGCGCCCCTCTCCATCTCCCGGTCCGTCCACGCATTCAACGCCCGTCGTCGCGAACGCGGGGCCGCTGCGGTGTTGCGGGGGTCTTTTCGTTGCGGGTCGAGGCCTTCAGGGGCATCGTGCTTCTCATCCGTCGGGATTGTGGATCGTCGTGGAGTTTGAAGGTGCTGGCGCCCGCTTCTTTGCGCTGGGGTTGCGGCGTCGTCTCTCGAGATCTTCCTCGCGAGCTGGCGCGATTGCTAGGCCACGCGAGCGCGCGGTGGAGGTTCTCGGGCAGGGCTTGGGCCAGGTTGCGCGAAGAGGTCCTGGGGCCTGACGGGGACCTCGACACCGTGGACTGGGTGAAGGAGGCGGAGGAGGATATGCAGGGGAGGAGGGGTGCTCGTTGAGACTTGCCAGAGGTCCAGAAGGAACGAGTGTGGGCTGTCCTCGCAAGAAAGAAGCGGTCGATCCCGATATCCAACATCGTTTATGAGGAAGTTCGGGGTCTCGCGGCGGCTGTCGAACACGTGTGCAGGCCCATGCAGAACATTGGTCGTCGGCGCCTCCTCATGCTCGAGTCCCTCACGTGCTTGCTGGCTCTGTGCATGGGCTCACTGTTGGCGGTGGGAGTGCGCGGTGCCCTTCGGTGCGTGGCCGCCCATGGTCATGCTGCAGGCGCGCTCTTTGCTGGCCGCTGGTTCCCTGGCGAGTGGGGCCGCGCCGGCGGCCCGTCGCGGGGCCTGCCTGGGACATGCTGGGCGCGGAGCGGACCAGACCCAGGTGCTGTGATGGGCGCGCCCTCGTGCCCAGCGGCTGCGTCGCTGGGCGCGAGCGGGGGGCTGGGGCAGAACCTGGCCTGGCCCTTCGCGCCGCGGCGCGCCCAGCACTTCGACGATGGCGACCGACAGCGCAGACTCCGCCGGCGGGCCGTGTCGAGCCGGGGGCGCCGCCAGCTGCTTTGGAGCGCGGCGCGCCCGCGATCAGCTTTGCGAGACGACGCGCGGCGGCGCAGCGGGCGCGGCGTCTGCCGAGTTGCACAGGTCTTTTCGAACTCCAGCAGGCGGTGCTGGAGCGCCACCTGCTGGAAAAGGTCCGTGCGCGCCGAGTTCGTGCGTTGGCGCTTCCGGGAGTTCCTGTAGGAGTTGGGCCAGTGTCTAGCTTTCCACGGCCTGCCGCCCCTCCCGCGTCCGAGCAGGCTCCAGGCTGCTGGGGTGGCGGAGACCGTCGACCACAACGTGTGTGAGGTGATGAACAAGCAGTACATCGAGGGGTTCGACCACTGGCGCGGGGCGAACATGCTGGCGGCCATCGGCCAGGCGGGCTCTCGCTCGCGCCGCGCGGGAGGCCATCCGCTTCCCTGGGCGCGGCAGGCGCTGAGGGGCAGGCGCGATCTGGCGCGAGCGGCCAGCCGTCTGCCGCTATCGCCCGAGATGGCGGTGAGACATGGTTTTGGTGATAGCGCAGTGCGCAAGGGGTTGCTCGCCCTCAGTTCTAGTCGGGGAACCCAATTTCTAGTGGGGGCGGGTTTGCTCGCCGCCCCGTTGTAGTCGCAACCTCTGTGCGATTAGAAAAGTGATCAACTTCTGGTTCTGGGGCCGTTTGCGGGGGGGGGGGGCGAGTAGTGCTGGGGGCTGCGCGCGGGAAGGCCGAGTAGTGGGAAGCATGGCGCGCAAGGGGGGCATGTAAATGGAATGCCCGCGACGCCCAAAAAATACAGACCCCAAGAAATCCAAACGCAATGCTTTCACAAACTTCAGTGGAGCTGTGTGGAGCCGCGAAACGTGTGAGGGTTGTGCCTGAGTGACCAGCGGCTGGGCACTCATCATCGTCGTGATCATCAACCTTCACCGTGAAACAAATCATCATTACCACCATCAGCATCCACATCGCCGTAACGATTATTATAACCAGCCTCATCAACCTCACCACCAACCGTAGCATCACCATCACAAGCATCATGGTAATCATTGGTGGTGGTGAGGGGTGATGGCCATGGTTGTGGAGATGATGGTTCCGATGATGTTTACGATGAAGATGAGGACGATGTGGGCGACGATGGTGACAATGGTGATGCTGATGACGATGATGGTGATGATGCTGATGGCTATGGTGATGGGTGATGAGAATGATGGCGATGATGCTAGGGATTATAATGATGACGATGCAGGTGGTGATGCTAATGACGATGATGACCTCGATGGCGATGGTGATGGTACTGATGATGACGATGATGATGTTAGCGACGATGATCGCAATCATCACGTTCTTCTTGTCTGGAGCTGGGGCAATCACAGCGATGATCGTTCTCGGCGCATGGGGCGGTGCATCTAGGCGCCTGCACGCTTTTCTAGAGGCTTGGGCTGCCCAAGCCCTACTAGCCAATCAGATTGGCCTCCTTCCACAGGTGTGCCATGGCGGTGGCCTTCGCCATCCACAACGAGGAGGTCTCGCGAGCGTGGAGCTCCGAGTGGTATTGGTGCACGGCCTTGGCCACCACTGGAGGGGCCGCGGTCAGGTCCTTCGCGCTCGGGATGGGCAAAAATCACGTGTGGAGGTATTCTGGAGCGTTTTGCTTCGGCTGCGGGCCCTCCTCGTCCGCGTCGGTGGGCAGGTCTACGGGCAGGTAGTGCACGAGAGGGTACAGGCCGACGGGCACTCTCACTGCAACGCCCTTTCGGGATGATCACCATCGAGGCGTGCTGCTTGTGCCACGACTGCCCCGTGGGCGACTCCAGGAACGCCTTGAAATCGTTGAGCACGATTCCGCTCGCAAGCAACTTCTCGATCGGCAGGCAGGCGAGGACGGCATCTGCATTCACGGGCTGGAACCACATCGAAACTCCATCGAGCGGCACTCCGAACGCGCCGTGGCCCCATGCGAAGCGCCTCAAAGATGCCAACCAGGGGCAGCACGCAGCCGAGTCCTTGTGCTCGCGCGGCACCAGCGGGGGATCCACATCCTTGTTCCATTCGGCGGACCCGCCCGGGGCACGGGGCGCCCGCGAGCGCCCCGCGAGGCGCCCCACCGAGGCGGCGGGGCGGCCACGTGGCACGGCCTCGGCGGGGCCCACCCGGCGCGCGGGGCGCCCCACGAGGCGCCCCGCGAGGCGCCCCGCGAGGCGGGCACCAGGCGGAAGCCGCGGCGGGGCCACGCAGCGCACGGAAGGGGCGCCCGCGGGCGCCTTCGAGGCGCCCTGCAGGGGCGGGCGCCGGCGGAGCCCCGGCGGGCCCACGCAGGGCACGAGGTGCCCACGAGCGCACAACGAGGCGGCCCACGGGCGGGAAGGTGGAACAACCTCGGCGAAGCCGTCAAATTGCTTGAGGCAGCCGTTTGCACACCCGCTCCGGGGATCTGCAGTTTCGATCGAAGCTCACCGGTTCCAAGTTGAAGCGGCGATTGACTCCCCCCCAATGAAAGAATGAGATGACCCAAACGTCGAAGCCAAAGTCGAAGTCGAGCTTTTGGGAGTTATCAGAATCACAACTGTTGACCCGGGCCGCAATTTCTTGCGGTCATCGGCCATTGTGAAAGCGAGCGGCATGGACGCTGACATCCAGAGGCCCTGGCACCCACAGGGGTGTGCTGAAATTTGGCAGGTCGTTCGCATCGGCAGAATATCCCTGTCTCGCTTTTCTTCCTCCTCCCGGCTCTCTCGCGCTCACGTCCTTTTCCTCCCAATTCTTGTCCTCGTGCTCCTGCTTCTCCCCCTTTCTCTAACGCTCCCACGCCTCCTCGTCCTCCTCGTCCGCGACCCCCGGGGGAGTGAGCACCTCCGAGTCAGCGGCTCGGCCTTGTGCATCCTGCGGGCCTTCGCGCCTCTGCATGCTGCATGGTCACGGGCGTCTGCTCGCCGCTCCCGCGCTCCACGGCAACGAGGGCGACGTGAGAAAGCGCAGGGTCGTCTGCGCGGACGTTGGCGGGACGCCGCCAGCGTCAGGTCGCGCGAAGGCGCCCCCGGCTCCACGCCGCATGCCGCGCTGGCGACCCGCGCAGGCCGCTGCGGAGAGCCACCACGCCATCGTGTGTATAGCGAGCGGCTTGAACAAGGAACACATATTTTTCAGAAGGGGCTCGGTCGCTCCTTAGGTTTACATGCGTTATTTACAGTTCCTTCTGCGTTCTTTGTTATTTATCGTTCCTTATGCGTTATTCCTTGGGATAAAAAAGGGGCTTCGTTCCTTATTTATCGTTCCTTAGGTCAGGCCGATGACTGTAAGACGCCTTCTTCGTTCGACGCTCGCGTAGGAGCGGAGTGGAGATCGCCCCATCTTGTACATTAGCTAATTCACTTGGGGCCACGCGCCACTTCCCTGGAGACGACGGCGAAGGGCGCGGAATTCGGCCTCGCGCCAGCACGTTGCACGATAAGGGGGTTCACTGCCGTGGTCCTGCGAGTCTGGGCACTAAAAGAAGCGAGGTTGTCTGGCTACGCGGCATTAGAGGCTTTATGTTGATATCATGCCCGGGGGTTGGATCGACCGCGGAAGAGCGGAAGAGCAAACAGTCGGGGAGGGACAGGGGGCATTTGCACGCGTAATTAGTTGCACATGCATTGCGTATCCCTACACGTATCGAATTCTGAACGCTTCGAGTAACCCTATAAGCTCATCCAGAAAGGATGCCCAGGCAACTTGCCCTGATCAGGGATATGGAGGAGCATGCAGTGGAAGAACTGGCTGGGGAAGCCGTCGTACCCCGAGAGGGGGAGAATGGAGGAGGAATCATAATCGCAGGAGGAGGGGGAGGGGGAGGGGAAGGGGGGAAAAGGAAGGAACAGGCGGCGGATGAGGAGGATGAGGAGGAGGACGAACAGACTGGCTAGATGCCTCATGGATGCCTCTCGGAGTCTCTTCGGATGTCTCTTGAACGCTTCTGTGAGTCCTCTTGGAGCGTCTTGGGGGCGACCTAGCGGTCCTGGGGGCCTCTTAGAGCGTCTTGGGTGCCTCGGGGGAGCCTCTTGGGGGCCTTTGAGGAGGACTCTTGGGAGCCTCTTGGGGACTCTTGGAGGCCTCTTGGGGCCTCCTGGGCGCCTCTTCGGGCTCTCTTGGAGCACTTTGGCGAGCGTCGGTGGCCATCATGGGGCCATCTAAGAGGAAATCGATCAAAGGGGGGGGGAGAAGAACCGCCCCAAACCACTCACGCCCTAAAGAGCTGGTGGGACTATGCCATTGTGTGCTTGTGTGCTTGTGTGTGTGTGTGTGTGTGTGTGGTGTGTGTGTGTGTGTGTGTGTGTGTGTGTGTGTGCGTGTGCGGCCAGGTCTCCCGACCTGGCCTCTGTCCCGCCTCCCGAGGAGGAGGGGTGGCAGCCTTCGCTCCTCGCCTCCATTGCGAAGGCACTCTCCGCCTGGGCCAGGGGTCGGTCCCCAGGGCCCGATTTCCCCACCGCCCAGCCCAGCGGCCGTTGCTCCCCACCTCCCCCGCGGCCGCCTGCGGCGCACTTTGCTCGCCCCCCCCCGGGCGCCTTGGGCCCCCGGGCGCTGGGACCCGCTCGCCACGCCCCGCCACCGCCCGCACAGCCCCGCACCCGCCCGCGCTCTGCGACGGCATCAGCGGCTGCGGAGGGCGCCCCCGCGGCCGCTAAGCCACGCACCCTGGTTTCCGAGCTCCAGCCCCCCACGGCGCCCACGAACGAGGAGGAGGAGGAGGAGGAGGAGGAGGAGGAGGAGGAGGAGGAGGAGGCCGTTCGCGAGGGTCTCGTTCAGCGGTTGAACGCGATACGTGGTCGGGGAGCCTCCAAGATGATCGAGGCCGGCAAGTTGTGGCCCGACTGTTACCACCTGCATGGGCCCACCCTTTTGGGCTGCACGCACGGCGACTCCAACCTCTACACATCCGCGCAACTCATCAGCTTCCTGGATGACGTGCCCATGTCGCGGTGGCCTACGGTGATGCACGAGCAAGCGCGTGAGGGCAGGGGCCCCGAGAAGCGCTTCGCCTCTTGGGATCCTTCCCGAGCCGCTCGCCCCCCGCCCCGCCCGCATGGGGTCGCGTCGCCACCCGCCCTGGCCGGCCCTTGCTGGCCACCGCCCTGGTCGGGCGGGAGGGCTTCCTCCGCTCGTCGGGCCCGGGTACCCTCGCTTCCTGGGGGTCCGCTACCACGGACGCTACCGCAGCCCTCACCCCGAATGGCCCCTACGTCCGCTACCCACCCCGGTGGCAGCCGTCGTACGCCCGACCCGGCCCGAGGAGGCTCCCAGCCTCCGATGGGACCCTGGAGGCCCTCTTGGGTAACCCTTGCTGCCCCTTCTCCGGGTGCGGTCCGCGTCACTGCCTCCACCCCTCACACCAACCAAGTCTGGAAGAGTCGAACCAGCCGGCATCGGCAGGCGAATATGCCTCCAAAGAGAGATCGGAACCCAAATCGGGAGGAGGAGGAGGAGGAGGAGGAGGAGGAGGAGGAGGAGGAGGAGGAGGAGGAGGAGGAGGGCGGCGATGCTGGCACTGGCTGCTGGTGCGGACGTGGTCCACCCTCCGCGGGTGCCACCCCCTCGTGGTGCACCCCTCTCTCCGTGTTGCCGCTCGGAGTCTGCGCGTTTGCGCTGCGGCCCTTCCTTGCCTTCCTGCGGCCTCGCTGCGCCGCCCCCGCCGCCGTGGCACTCTGCCTGCCTCCCCATGCCCGTTGCCTCGGTGCTTGGCTGCGCGGGCCGTCGCCTCCTTGGCCCTCGCTGCGCCCCGCCCTGCCTGCTTGGTTTCTCATCCTCGCTGGATCCCGTGGCTCCGCTTCGCCTCGTCTTGGCTCCACGTGCGGCTGCACTGGCCTGGCGGCGCATCTTTACGTCCTCGTCGTCCTTCCCGCCCACGTTGCCCGTACCCAGGTTATGCCTATGGCACGGTTGATCTCTTTGGGCGGATCTTTGCCCCTTCTGAGAGCCTGGCCGCGCGTGCTCGCTGTGCGCGAGGCCTCGACGCCCAAAGTATCAGTGTGAGTGTGAGTGTGAGTGTGAGTGTGTGTGTCTGTGTCAGTGTCAGTGTCAGTGTCTGGGGTGGCCTTGGGTGCGTGATTGTCTCGCGTCTACTTGACTATCAAAGTTGGACATCCCGATGTATTCACTTCCGTAATGTAGCTAACCTTCTGACAATATACCCCCATTTGTCTCTTCTGATCTAAGTCTGTAGATTGTCTGATACGGTGAAACAGCTGTAACTATATCAGATGTGTATACACATGTTTGTAATCCGTATATGTACATTCGGGGTTGAACAGAACTCCCACCGTGACACGTCGATTAGTGAGTTGTCCGATTCCGGTTCTCGAGAGTGCGCCGCGGCCGTCATCTTCCAGGCTTGCGCCCGCCAGGTTTGGGCCCGAGGTCGTGTTCACTAGACCACGTTTTACGAAAGGGGGTTCTGTCCATCCCCGTTACATCTCAGAGTGAGTTGCCGAACTGTCGTTCACTGTCCCTGGGCGCGTGGCTGAAATGAGATTATGTTGTGCGGTTTGTCGTTGTAGTTAGTGTTGTTGTTGTTGTTGTTGTTGTTGTTGTTGTTGCTGTTGCTGTTGTAGTTATTGTTGTTGCTTTTGTTACTGAAGAATTCGTGTTGTTAATCTTCCCCCTCTGGTGACCATTGTGTTTCAATTGAAGTGCTACCCCCTGGGCTCGCACCCTGTTTTGTCAGGGAAAATCACGGGGTTCAAACTGGATTGTTGGCCCCCGGCTTACAGCAGCAACAACAACAACAACAATAAAAACAACAGCAGCAGCAACAACAACACCGGATCCCGCTTGATATTTCCTCAAAGTGTATTCCCAAATCGCGCTCTCGTGTGGGACGTCCTCACAATTTGTGTACGAATCGCGCTCTCGCGTGGGCCTTCCTCGCAATCTATTCAGACGATGCGCCCTCGGCGCGCAGGAATCGAGACTTCCTCGCGATTCATGTTGGATCCACGCTTCAGCAACCCGCCTGCTCGACCTGGTCGCCAGGGCCCGCCTTCCCGACCTGCCCGCTATGGGTCTGCCCACCCGATTTGCCCGTCAGGTTCTACCACTTGTTTTCTGCTCCTTGCCCCCCTCCTGCTAATTCCTCTCGTGCTCCATTCTTCTCCCCCCCCTTCCACCCGTCTTTCCTTCCGTTGTTTTAGGGGCTGCATTACATGCACGTGGCAGGTAAGGAAGATACACCCCCAAGAGGGTACGATCGAAGACGACGAGAGCGGGTACCGAGGATTTGGGATATACGTATTGATTGGCACGTGAGCAGATGGGAGCGAACAGTCTGAAATTGATTGTTGTTGCTGCTGTTGAAGTCTCACTACTGAAGAATAATTTCTGTTGATTCCCCCTCTGGTGCACATTGTATGTTTCAGTTGAAGTGCCCCTCCCGGCGCTCGCACCTTTGTTTATCAAGGAAAGTCTTGACGCTCAAATTGTGCATGTGGCCCCCAGTTTACAACAACAACGGTTCCCGCTTTCTATTTCCTCGAAATTTACTTCAGTCCCCCGCTCCCGCTTGAGAGTTCCTCGCAATTTACTCAAGAGTCGCGCTCCCGCCTGAGACTTCGTCGCAATTTACTCAGGTGCCGCGCTCTTGCCATTCAGGAATCGCGCGTTCGCTGGGGACTTCCTCAAATTTACTTAGGAACCGCTCTCTCGCTGGACACTTCCTGGCTAATCACGCAGAACTCACGATCGACCCGCCCGCTCGGCCCGCCCGTCAGGGTCATGCCCTTCGTGCCCCATGCTCGCTCGCGCCCTTTGTGCCTCATTGCTGCCCTTCGTGGCCCCTACCCTTGTGGCCCAGTCGTTGCCCTTCGTGGCCCCGATGCTGCCCTCAGTGGCCCCTCGCTGCCCTTTGTGGCCCATGTATACGCCCTTCGTGGCCCCCAGTCGCTCGTGCCTTCAGTGGCCCCATTGCTGCCCTTCGTGGCCCCGCTGCTGCCCTCAGTGGCCCCCTCGCTGCCCTTTGTGGCCCGTATATACGCTCTTCGTGGCCCCCAGTCGCTCGTGCCCTCAGTGGCCCCATTGCTGACCCTCGTTGCCCTGGCGTAGGCCCCTTGTGGCCTATATATATATATATATATATATATATATATATATGTGTACGCCCCTCGTGGCCCCCAGTCGCTCGTGCCCTCAGTGGCCCCAGTGCTTCCCTTCGTGGCCCCGCTGCTGCCCTCAGTGGCCTGCACTTTGTGGCCCATATGTTCGCCCTTCGTGGTCCCCAGTCGCTCGTGTCCTCAGTGGCCCCATTGCTGCCCTTCGTGGCCCCGCTGCTGCCCCCCAGTGGCCCAGACGCTGCCCTTCGTGGCCCATGTGTACGCCCTTCGTGGCCCCCAGTC